GAGAAGGGACTACAGTTGCAGGTGGAGTCACATGGAGTCTGGAAGTAGCAGAGGTATCCATGGCGTATCTCAAGTCCAATGTACATGGAGGTTCGACGCATGGATGAATTCAAGATGGTGGAGAATATTCGCCAAGATGGAGTTTGTTAGAGTTGTGTCGAATATTATTGTACAAGATAGGTTACAATTGGACTTGGTTTTAGACTGTGCATATAGGGTAGGAGTTGTGTTCTAATAGGACACCTGTATCTTAGGCCTCTCATATATATCGGGGGTAAACACACGATGTAACCTATGCCAACATAATAACACAGGCATGCGAGGGAGCCGGCGGCGTGTGCCGGTGCCCGGGCGGCCAAGGTGCGGTATTGTGACGGTGTCACAGGGAGGAGCGCCCGTAATCAGGCCCCGGGGATGGGATGGTGAACCTTGATAATAAATCTCGGTGTCATGCTTGTATGATTGCTTGGACCTCCTGATGTATTGCCGCCCCTTCTTAGCCCTGTTGAGCAGCCTGACCAGCCACACCACCAAACGAATGGCGATCCAGATGTTGAGCGACAGGAAGAGGAAGATGATCGGCTTTGCGATCGGCTGCACTTGAAGGCCGCCAGGCGGTGGCTTGGCCTTGCCATCCTTGTCATAGGTGGTCCAGTCGACGTCCATGATACTGACGACGGTGAGGCTGACTATGTCATTGGCGAAGGCGGTGCCCATGGCGAGCTGGCCGGTCTCGGAGCCGGTGAGCTTGAGCTCCGTGACGATGTGGATGAGGACGGGCGAGGCGGTGCTGGTGAGGACGAGCATGAAGAGAGCGGTGGAAGCGTAGATGCCCTCTGGGTAGAAGGTCTCCTTCCATGGGTGCGGAAGGCCATAGAAGAATAGCCCGCCGACGGCAGCGAGCAGGAGGCACAGCGCGGAGCCGCCGCAGGCGAGGACGAGGGAGGCACGCAAGTAGCGCCGCATGTAACACAAGTCCATCTCCAGCCCGGTGAAGAACATGAACACGACGCGGAGGAAGTAGATGGCGTCGTCCAGCGCCATGCCGGCGTCCTCCATGCCTAGCGGACGGAGGTTGACCACGCGGCCAAGCACCGTCGGGCCGACCACCACGCCAGCCTGCATCCATTACTCCATTAGCACGACAAATCAAGTGCTAATAGGGTGATCGATGGATGGATCGGAGCTGCCAAGATATATACTATACGAACGTACCAGGATGTGCGAGATGATGCTTGGCTGGCCCAGGCGTCGAAGGCCGGAATGGAAAAGGCCGGGGAGGGCGAGGACGCTGGCCATGAGGCCGATGACGACCATCAACCTGGCCATGAAGTAGGACCCCTGGAGAACGTCGCCGGGCACTTGCCGCCATCGCCCTCTGTCATATCTTGCAGGGTCTCTTCGTCTTGGGTCGCCGACCGGCCAGACAGGCCTCCGCCGATGAGCTACTTTGCTCTATACTCCCTCTGTTTAGAATCTTGTCGTAGAAATGGATGTATCTTGTTTTAGATATATTCATTTTTGCGATAAGTAATTCCAAACGAAGAGAGTATGTTGTTCATGAGCTAGCTAGGTGGGTAGGTTGGGTGCTTCTTCTTGATTTGTCCGGTGACGTACGTGATCGGTGAACAAATCTAACTAGTTTAATGATCAATTAACAAGAGCCTCTCCCCACAAGTATTTGTTTGGCTTTCTACCAGAGTGCGTAGCCCCACAAGACAAATATGTCCATTCTAAAAATATATAGACCAATTATGGGCAGCCAATCCGTAGTTAGTTCCATCTTGCATCCTCAATGGACGATCAATGGTTGTCTACAAGTGGGTGCTGCTAAATATCGGTGCTACTTTCCTCGTAATTAAGTGGAAAAGTCAGCGAGTGAACGCCGAAGTGCTATTCTAAGCCAAGCTCATGTGACCTCGGGTGAACAGTAAAATAAATAAATAACAAAAAAGAATTCAAAAAAATTTGAATTTTTTATGTGAAACGTTGGCAAATGTTTTCATAACTTGCAAAATTTCATCATGAAATGACATTTGTGGAAAACGTGGCCAAAAAATATCGATGCTCCAAAATGCATATGACATTTTGGAGCATCAATTTTTTTTGCCACGATTTCCACGAATGTCATATGATGATGCAATTCTGCAAGCCAACAATTTTTTTTGTCAATGTTTCACATAAAAGAAATTCAGAATTTTTTAATTGTTATTTCTACTATTTTTTATTTACTATTCATCCGAGCTTCCGGATTAGAACAGCCGCGTCTCGAGTGAACGTTCTAACTTTAACCTTAGCGCACCACACATTTCTATATATGGCAGGCTACATCATTTCAACTGGGCGCGGCTGAGATCATCTACAACAAGAGGCGGCGTAGACAGGGGCACCCGTTATCCCCGCTGCTATTTGCTTGAGGCAGCAACAAACAAGGGCATGCTATTGCCACTGGCGGCAAGAGTGGTTCATGACCGAATGTCCATTTATTCGAATCACGTGATGGCCTTTTTAGGCTGGACCCTCATAGCTTGCGTTCTTTCATCAAAGATGGTGAGGGACTTTCAGGTGGCCTCGACGCTATGCGCAAATCTTTCCCAAATGCTCCGTCCAGCTCATCAAATGTAGTCCAGAGGAGAGCAAGGTTGCCAGGTAGGAGCTCAATTGTCCAATCCTCCCCTTCCCATGCAAGTATTTCGGGGTTACCTTGTGGCTAAGGAAAACTACGACGACACAACTACAACCTCTAGTGCACAATGTGGTTAATCAGCGACGGTGTGCTTCCATTCTATTCCATGGTGGTGAGATTCTGCTCGTCAAAACCATGTTCACAACGATGTTGGTGCACATGATTCTAGCGTTAGATCTCCCTGTCAAGTCGGAAGAAAGGACGTAAAGGGCAACCATTGCTTTGTGTCTTGGGACAAGGTATGTTTGCCGAAGAGGATAGGTAGCCTAGGTCTGCCGAACTTGCAATTACTAAACTTGGCTCTCCGGGATAGATGGCCGTGGATGGAGAGGGTAGTCGACGAGAAACCATGGAAGGAATTTAACATGTAGGTCCTCAAGGAGGCCATAGCCTTTTTCTTTGGGGCTATGAAACCCACGGTCGGGGAAAGGACGAACACCCTCTTTTGGGAGGATGGTTGGCACGAAGATGGTTGCATAAGAGACTTTGGCTGCATCTCTTTGCCTGTGTGGACAAGCGAGCCGTTTGATCTTGCTTGGTTAGGGATGGACTCATTGACAATGGATGGTGGACTGATGTGTGCCCAAACATGGTAGGGAAAGTGACTGTAGAGTTTCTTGAGCTTGAAGCTTTGCTTGGGGGCTTTTAGTTCTATGCTGATGTGAAGGATAACTTGGAATTGGCGTGGGAGAAGGACGGTAGATTCTCGGCCGAATTTGTCTGTGATGCTTTATTTATTGGGAGAATGCAACCCGACGCTATGTCCCTTCTGTGACCAAGGGCCGGAGGACTTCAACATGTTCTCCTTGGTTGTGTGCTTGCTCAGGAGGTTTGGACGGTGATCCTTACTCGTTGGGGTAAGGCACACTGAATCCCTGAGATTGGTGCAGATTTGGTGGATTGGTGGGTCGACAAGGAGCCACAAAGGCAGCTCCCAGCAGATGCACATTTAGCCATCATGTTGATTTATTGGTGCTTGTGCGGTATCGCAATGATCCCGTCTTGGGCAATGCCCATGGCAGCAACAGTGCTTGGCAGCGTGCGGGAGGAAGGGCTTGAGTTGGCGAGCGGCGAGGCTTATTCCTAGGGAAGGACTAATAGAAGGGTAAAGATGTAGTGAGTAATCCGTATAAAGTTATGTGGCCCTATGGCGTTTTAGCCGGCCCACGATGATGTGTTAGCCATTTTGGCTCCTCATAATCTATGTTTATGATGTGCTCAATCTTGGACGTATACTTGATTTTATTTAACAACTAGATGATGTCTCACACGTTGTGTCAGTATATTATGAAGAATTTTAAGTGATTCAACTTCTGGGTGTGTTGATCCATATCGATGAGCTTGACATGAAAAAAAGAGCGACGACATACATCAACAAACAACAATGGCATATGGAATAAGGTACTATAAATGACAAAGCAACCACCTGACAGCACATTGAAATGTACATTGAAAGTTTTCGTTATCATATCTAGACAACTTGAAAGTGAAGCGTTCCCTATTTAGTTGTCGTGTATTGATGTGTAACAAAGTAAATGGAATCATAATTGGATTTTCTTATAACATTTGAAAATATACAATTTCAATTTATGTAAAGGAGAAGATTCTACTCTAAGAAAACTTGACAAAAACGTAATAACTAAATCTCAAAATTAGTTCTCAAATGCATAGACATAAAAGGTGGATCCATAGGGAAAATATTCATTTGACGTGAAATTATTGACAAATAGGATATGGGATTAATAATTTGTGAATTATTCATTCGTTTATGTTCGTGTGTCTTCAAGTTGGATCATTCAGATCTACACTTCTCTTCATCTCGATGATTGTTGTTCTGGTGCGCTTGTTATATAATGCCTTAGCACGACGACTTCCCGGCTGTTTACTACAACAATTTTTGCCTGACTCCATTGAGGGAGGGGCGATGACGACGGCGTGCATTTGGCTCAATTTAGTGCTCGTAGCTGTCGTTAGGTCGACTACAAATCTCGATGTAGATTTTATTGGTTATTGCACATCTAAGTGACTCAATGAAGGGTAAAAAAAAAGAAAAATAAAAAAATACCCACACGAATCTTCGTGTAAGATCAATGATATAGGATTTAGATAGCACATCTAGATGTGGTTTAGCAAAATTGTATAATCTTTTATCGAGATGATAATTAGGAAATCCACATTAGAAAACTGAATGCACAAGTACTAGTGCCTAAAAAAATCAACTCCAAAAAAGAGAAGCAAACATTTAACGAAGCATGCATTGCATGTGTGAACGCTTTGCTGGACAGGGCTCTGTTCACGCAATCCCAGCCCTTAATTAGGGAAGTCCTGCGACGGCTGCGATGTCTTTCTTGATGGTCTCTTTCTTGTCGGGAGTGGCCAAAGCGAAGGCAACGCTCACGGCTCTGCCACGGCAACCGTCCTCGCAAATGGTGGCGCACGCAGGGTCTTTCTTGCCCTCAGCGCAGAACTTGCCGCAGTCGCCGATGCAGGTGGCAGCGATCGCGTTGATCTTGTCGCTTGGCTGGCGGGCCTGCTTGTCGATGGCTTGAATCACGGCCGTCTTCTCCGACGCCGAGCTCTTGGCGTACACGTCGGCGGCGAAGGAGAGGCTCTCGACTTCGACGCGGCAGATGGTCTCGCACCTTGCGCTGCACGCGAGGTCTTTCTTGCCTGCGCCGCAGAGCTTGTTGCAGTCGTCTAGGCAGTGGGTGGCCAGCCCAGCAGCCTGGTTAGCGGACTCGGCGGAGGAGACGGCACCTTCAGTCTTGTTGCTCAAGATCTCGACCGCGGCGGCCTTCTCGGTGGGCGGGGCGGCAGTGAAAGCCTCCGCCGCCGCCTTGAGACGGCAAGCGCTGTCGCATGGGGCTTGAGCGGTAGCCGCCGGCACCGATGCGGCTGCCACCACGACGGCGACGAGGAAAGACACGCTCATCGCGGTTCTGCTCAGAGCCATTGCTGACTAACTTCTTGATTGGTTTGGAGAGGGACGAGGCGATCGAATAGATGTTGCAGCTGCTGCTGAGGTCGATGCTTTGTGTGTCATGGAGTGTGAGGCAGGAGCTTTCTTTATTTAGGAATGGCGTGAGGCCAGGAGATTTTTGCGTACCACCAGTGGTGGATGCCAAGTAGTAGTAGATAGCATGTTAACGCCTTTTTTTTTTTTGCATGTTAACGCCTTTTATCTGTACTTTATTTTACTTTTGCACTTAATAAGAAACTTAAGATCTTCGTTTCAACTTTCCTTCGTCCAATCTCTGTAGACGTCTCCCTTTCCTTATTTCTTTTCCTTCCATCTTTGATTTCTTTTCTCATTCATAAAGTTTGACCATCTTATATGAATAAATATCAATGCCTACAATACTAAAGTTATACAATATAAAAAATAAATTCATTATGCATCTAATGATATTGATTTAGTATTGTGAATGTTGATATTTGTTCTACAAAGTTGGTCAAACTTAACAAAGCTTACTTCGGTCAAATCTTACGCGCATAGTAAAAAGTACCAGAGAAATACATAATATTTTATTGGTAACTCAATAAATTTTTACCAAAAAAAATAATAATAAATTGGCATGTAAATTATGATGACTGCGTACAAAATTTTGCTAAGATTTTACAGACCAATGTAATAGGGCCTTAATATCTGGCGATTGGATGCCATGGAGGAGGGTGGATCGAACAAATTCGATCGTCAGGAGGTTGT